GAGAGGAGAGCACAACACCCGACTGAGAAACCAACAAAACCAAACTAACCACAAATCTAACGTAATTAAACCTACAAATGGCAACATTTCTAACATTAGGCTTCTGAGTGTTTAAATGGGGTAATGCAACATTTATCATTTTTGTAGATCCAGTGTAGTGATAAGTGCACTACTTCCATTTGTTTATTGAAGGGTGTTAAAGTAAAGTGTGTGAAAACCAACAATGTATCTTGACTAACTCCACTCTAAAGGCATTCACTGTCAATTTTCCCTAAAGTATTCATAGCTAAATGTTGCCACATCATACAACACCTTTACTGCTGTTGTTGTTGTTGTTGTATTTTTCTTTGCATTCATAATTCTAAGGTTGGAATTATAGTATTTTTTGTATATTTAGCAATGTATGAGCTCCTGCTATTACTGTATGCAATGTCATAAACTTGACACTTTTACTTGAAAATGAGTTCACTCTGGGCCCTTGAGCAAGGCCCTTGACCCCCACCATCTGCTCCCCTGAGTACCACATGGCAGCTCTCTGCTCCACACGGAGGACTGTGATAGCTCGGTGGTCCATGGTTGTGTCATGAAGAGCATCAGGTGTAAAAAACAATTGCCAAGTTTTGGTGCGAGTTAGTTTGCTGTGGAGTCCCCTGAAGAAGGGAGCAGCTGAAAGAAGAAGAAAATAAATAAATAAACAAAACACGTTTAGTTATAAATCAACCCAATTTTAAGGCCATGCACAGACAATGGCTTCTGTTCAGCTACAGTGCACTCAGTAATTATTATGTCCTTTATGGCATTTCACTAAACAGGTTGGCATCCTGAAATAATTATGTGTTTGAAAAATGTATTTAAATATCCATCCATCCATTATTATTTACCCGCTTCTTCCATTTTGGGTCATGGGGGTCGCCGGTGCCCATGTCCAGCAATCATTGATGGACATATCACAAGTCCATCACAGGGACACAAATGAGACAAACAACCATTCACTCTCTCACTCACACCTAGGGACAATTTAGAGTTACCAATCAGCCTAACATGCATGTTTTTGGACTGTGGGAGGAAACCGGAGTACTTGGAGAAAAAACACACAAGCACAGCGAGAACATGGAAACTAAACCCAGAAAGATCCCCATCCAGGATTTGAACCGATGACCTGCTCACTGAGAGGCAGCAGCTCGATCAACTGCGCCACCGTGCCACCCAGTAACAGTTGTTTCCCTTCCGGGGATTGAACACCAAATGTATTACAAACCCGGTGCTTTGCCTCTTCACCAGAGAGCAATGTATTTAAATATAAAACAATAAAAATGAACATACACCCTCTAATAGACAATATTCTAATTATGGTTTTGTAAGTCTAATTAGTCAATTGATTGTGAAAAATGTTTTAATTATCATAACATGATAGGATATCATGAATTTTCTAAACTGATGTTAAGGATGGATTGTAATTTGTTTGGTTACTTATGGAGTCTACCTCTACAAACCCTTGTCTATTTATCAGACTGACAATGTGTGAAAATGTGGAACAACTTCTTGAAGTAATCAAATCAGGCTCACATCCTTTGTGATCACATGCACAACCAAACAAAAACAAAAGAAAGTAGGTATTAAAAATTTATAGAGATCAGTTGCAATTTTTATTATTATTTATGCTATCATAATGTCCCAAACTTATTCATCAAGTGAACTGCAATATTTACTGTATAACTCCTAGAGTTGCTGCTGCTTCTTCAACAAATTATCAATTATGTCTGCACACTTGCTTCCTATTTTCTACAAAATATTTATATATTTAGTTTCCATCCATCCATTATCTTCCGCTTGTTCCAAAGTCGGGTCGCGGGGGCAGCAGCTTGAGCAGGGAGGCCCAGACATCTCTTTCCACACGCACCTCTTCTAGCTCTACTGGGTGGGGCGGTGGTGGTGGGGGGGGACCCCAAGGTTGTTCCCATGCCAAAAGAGAGACATAGTCTCCCCAATGTGTCCTAGATCTTCCCTGGGGACTCCTCCCAGTCGGTCATACCCGAAGCACCTCTCTAGGGGGATGCCCAGGGGGCATCCTTACCAGATGCCTGAACCACCTCAACTGGCTCCTTTCGATGTGGAGGAGCAGCGGTTCTACTCTGAGTCTCACAGAGATAACTTCTCATCCTATCTTTAAGGGAGAGTCCAGCTACCCTGTGGAGGAAACTCACTTTAACCACCTGTATCCACGGTATCATTCTTTTGGTCACTACCCAGAGTTTGTGACCATAGGTGAGGGTAGGAGCATAGACTGACCGGTAAACAGAGAGCTTTACCTTACAGCTCAGCTTCCTCTTCACCACAACGGACTGGTACAGAGTCTGCAATACTGCAGACACTGCACCAATCCATCTGCCAATCTCACACTACATTCTTCCCTCACTTGTGAACAAAACCCCAAGATACTTGAACTCCTCCACTTGAGGCAGAACCTCACACTCGACCTGAAGAGAACATTCCACCCTTTTCTGGTTGAGGACCATGGCCTCAGATTTTGAATTTTTTTTTTAAACTTTGTTTCCAGTAAATATGATGCTCATATCTAATGAATGGGAAGTTTTCCTAAGGATTCTTAGGATATAATCTTTTTCCATGAAATGAGCTGATTTATCTCTTCCCTAATGTTTGTTTTTTATTCACATTTACCCCCGATACTCAACATCTAAATGGAAATCACTTGCATCCATAAACACTTCTTCTCATAGAATGGGAAATGAAGGGGACTGATATAAGTAGATAAAGAGGACAGCGGGATGGAATGGCTCTTCTTTACCTCATTTACCAGCAAACCGCTTAGCAAAGCCATTGGCATTTCCGGGGTCAAGGGAGCAAAATGAATGTTCTTTATATCCTATGGTGACTCGTAAAAACAGGAGACTAGTGACACAGACGTCTACTTACACAGACATGCACACGCACACACATGCAAGTTGTTGCTCAGTCCGTGTGATTTATACGAAGACCTCGGGTGACAGTCATGGGCCGTTGACTCCGTCACAGCAGAACAAGAAAGAAATAACTTAATGGATGTGGATATTGAGCAACAGACATTAACACTGAGGGCCAGAATAACAGGAAGTCAACCTTGACCCCTGTGGCGAGAAGGGAAGAGAAGACAGCGAAGGAGAAAGGATGTTTCTCCATCTTGATTTACAAGAAAACTGAAGTTCAAAGTAAGAAAGTACACTTTCCAAAAAGAGGCCCACCTCTTCAGGATTTAGTTTGTGATACTTTGAACAACACAAAAAAGGTCAACGTGTAAGAAAAGTAAAAAGTAAAATAAAAAATAAGAAAACTGTCATTATTAGAATGCTAAATATTTGGTTATTATAATAAAAGTGAACATAACACATAAGGTCTAACTATCTGTTCAATAGTTATATTATGAGTCATGGATGTTATGAAAACATATAATTGAAATAAGTAAAAGTCAAAAAATGAGTAACATTTTAAACAAGGAAATAACATGATAAAATAGCTTCTTATGTAACAGGTTCCATCTTCTTTTATGAATAACTGTAATATACATATTGCAATTATTGCTTTCTATCCAATTACATTTAAATCTGTGTCCATCCTCCTCATTCTGATCGTTATGTTGCCTCAACCAAGGTTTTTATTTATGATTTTTTTTTCAACAGGAGGCATTCGATTAGCATTCCAGTCTTTTGACACTAACATTAACCAATTTTTATTATTATTATTATTATTTTTTGCTTTCCAACACATAATTTATTTCTGATTGATGGTGGCCATCTGGGTAAACAGTCCAAATGCATCATAAGAGTCAGGGAAGCTGTGTGCCAAGCTGCTTATTAAATTATTTGTTCTGTGATGGTTGTCGACTACAACACCAGTGGTTTTAAGGTGATTGAGGCCTGCTCTGCTTTAAAAGTAATACTGTTGATATTTTTAGGTGTGACAGTTCAGATTGAAAACATAATCCTAATGATTTGATAATGACAAGTTTGTGATAATTAAATTCAGCCTTTTTAAAATATAACCATGTAACTCCTTGTAAAGCATAGCTTAAATGATTTGTAATACAGGCAATGCGTAGGTTTTATCAGCAGTCAATATCTTACCTGCTTTAAACCACTATCTGCACAATTTTAATTTAGTTAAGCACTTAGTTTAAACTATACAGCAAGTAAAACATACTTTTGTTCAACATGATTTTACATAAACGTCTCTTTTAAACCCAACTAACCTTATTTGATTGACCCCGTTTTTAACACTTCTACTTTGTACTTCACTTTTTCCTTGAAGCAAATTTTCATTTGGACAAAATTTTTTATTTGATAGAAGTCTGTTGTTAAGGTAATTATTCTGGATGAGTATATTTAACTAGCATTGTTTTGCTGCGTGTTTTATTATTATTTATAAAATACAGAATAACACAGTCTTTAGAGTAAAAAATCTCAAGCTTCTTCAGGAATGTCTATCTAATCCCAAAATAAGTGCAAGGTTTTAAAAACTATATTTGCATAAACTCCATGACATTTTTGAAAGTGAAGTTTTTTTAAAAAGCAGAAATTCACATTGTAGTGGCTAGTTGTTAGATTGACAATTATTAGAAAATTTCTTTCTGATTTTTCAAATTGAGATTTTGTCCACTGCAGGGAAGATGTTGACTGCACAGAATCCCACTTCAAGTAGTCCAAAATCTCCTTTAATGCCCTATTTTGTCTGACTTGCACCAGTTATTTCTTACTGAGCTGGAAAAAAAACCTGGCCTTTCTCACTTTACCCTTCCCAAAATGCTTTTAAATAAAAAATAAACTTTACTGGATGATATTTTGTCCCTGGCAGACTAAGACAGGTTAGAGCGCACTTGCCTACTCCATCTAATTTAAAACAATAGAACACACACACACACATATTGCCCAGGTCAAACACCAGGCATTTATAGCCAACCTCACCCATGACCGCTCAGCCTCGGCCCGATTAATTCAGCCTCCTGGGACATGGATCCCCAGGTTAAACAGCAGCCTTATTGCCGAGAGCTGAGTGAGCGGACCTGATGGATGAGTGCAACCCGGAGTCCTGACATGGCTGATAAACGTGGAGCGGCTGATCTGTTTTTAAACAATGTAGTCCTACCCACACATTTAACATCCATACTCTGAAGCCAGGGAAAAGCTTTCAGGATGATTAATAACAAATTTGTCCCTTTGCAGACAAGGGATCCGGGACAGTGCAGGGTTTATCCATCTGTTAAACCATGGCTTTTTGCCTTTCACACATGGACATGTTCATTCATTTGATATGTCGAATGTGACAAGATTGCTGATAATTGACTGAAAACATTTATTCCTTTGCATTTAACACATTTGATACATTTGACAAGCGAACACAGGCGGTTCTGTATTTACGGGGGTGGCAACAATATTCATCTAGATTTTATTAGCTGCTGATGGTAACAATTTGCATCTGATTTCTTGCAGCCTCAAGTCAGACATGTGAACCAGCGGAGGTAAAGGACAGCCAGTCGAGCTACGTGAGTGAGATGCTAACTGGCTGCTGGACCAATTTTGTCAGAGACGACGAGGCAGAGGTCCACATCGTTAATCTGGTGTGGAGCATGATGGTAAGCATGTCAATGTGGGACAAAAACAACGAGATGCTAAACGGGCAAATGTGAACAAGCAAACCCTTTACTTCATAAGGAGAAAATAAAATCACATTTTTCAAATAAATTACCATATTTTTTGAACTATAAGGTGCTCTTAAAATCTTTTAATTTTCTCAAAAATCAACAGTGAGCCTTATAATCCAGTGCGCCTTATGCATTAATTCTGGTTGTGCTTATTAACCTCAGACTGATTTTATGTGGTGCAACTGAACAATGTTGAGAGTTACTGTGAATGAGTTGAATAAAGTTGGACTTATCTGACTGTTTTGTTTCGATTAACACATCTTATAATCTGATGCAATTTATGCATGAAAACAGACCTGTTTATTGATATTGTGCCTCATAGACCGAAAAATATGGTAATAGACAACAATACTCCATTTTAGGCTTTTTAATCAGTGTAATACAATTAAAATCATCCAGCGAGAGAAACTACTTTAGTAAACTGTAAGTTTGTATCAAAATGTAAACATTTGGTGCTTCCTTTGTCTTAAAACCCAACTCCAAAAAACTATTGTGCAGCTTGGGTGTGCTATCTTTTGCACATCATTCACATTTGTAAGCTGACAGAATTGTATATAAAATCCACTCATGCAGAATTGACCAAACAGCATTTCACACTTTTGTGGTAATGTAATATGTCATTCAGTGTGACAAACACAGCTAAACTGTTCTGAGCTTGTGGCAGAATTTTATTCTACTCATATTTACACGATCCTATCTGCGTCCATAACATTATCCATCATAAGGCCAACTGTAGAAGCTAGTAAAATAGATTTTGTACGTGAAAAATGCAGCTTGCCTATGTTAGAAATATAGTCAGCAATGTTTCACACAGTATGTTAATTAGGAGAGAAAGAACTAAAGAAAGAACAAAAGTTAAAAAAGGATAAAATACCTTCTTAACTTTATAAGCTTGTTCATTTACGCATAAGAGGTAATGTCAAAAATAATCTTTGTGCAGACAAAAATGGTAAAAATGCAGTCCACAGTACTAAATGCAAACAAGTACCAGATAATAAAGCTAATATAATGCATATTAAATCACAAAATGGACCACTTTAAAAGGCAGCCTATAAATAATTACCAACTCAGCCAACCTCCCACAACAGACATATGCATTAATGCAAACCCACCCACTCCTCATTCCCTTTGCTGTCTTGATATAACCTTTATATAACAAGGTTCTGCAAATTCAGTGTTTTGCATCACAGAAAAAAAAAAACATTTTCAAAGCATCATAAAGTTTATTAATTTTCTTCCTGACCTTAAAAAAAGCACAATGCTCATTAATATGGCTTTTTAAAATTTCCTTTGAATACTTCTGTTGCTCTTCTGCAGCTTTGATCTTTTGTGCTTTATACTGCTGAAAGCCACTGACATATTTTATTATTGAAGACTTATAGTTTAACACATTTCACACTGACCACAGCAATAATGTTGGTTGGGTTAAAAATGGACTTGATTCTTGTTCAACACAATCCAGTTAGTCATTAAACTCATTATATGAAGACATCAATAAAAAAAAATAACAGTGATTTTCAAACTTTTTCTTTAAATTACTAACCTGTTTTAACGAGAGAGCTCAAACAATCTGAGTTCACGTCTTGGCTGGGGGCTTTCTTTATAAGTTTACTGGTTTCTGCACAGTCCAGAAAATCCTGCATGTTGTGGTAATTGGTGACTGTGACAATTTTTTTGTCGTCCTGGGATGAACTGGCGACATGTATGTTTAGCCTCTTGCCTAAAAACTGCTGGAGGTTTAGGCACCATCTCCCAGTGACAGGGGAGTCCATTATATAGTCAGTTCAGGTCTAAACAAGACCATAAGATTAACTTGCCTGTATTTTTAATGAACATAAATACTATCCCAGCAGCTGACTTCATCATTTGTCACACATATTGGAAACAAAACAACACCAGCCCCAACAAAGCCGTTTTTTACTCCTCACAGAAGAACAGTTATGCAATGCCTGAAAAAGAAGATGGTTGATTTATTTCCCTTGTGTTGTCACAGCTTTGAGAGGAGCAGAATGAAGGATTGTTGAGGATTTCTTAGTTGTTGGTCAAACCTGTGTTTTCCCAGTCCAGAGACTACAACAAGACAGATGGACTGCTAATGCTCTGTTGAATGAGCAGAGGCTCATTAGAATTAAGGACAGATTGCAGACACGTGACGGGCAGAGATGGTAAATTCAACAATAATGGTTTGACACCAGCCAAAAGAAAATGACTTGTTATAAATGCCCCAATAGGAGATTTGTGTGCTTTTTCTCTAATAATGTGTCAAACAGCTGCAGATAAAGAACACAGACTGGAGACAAGAGGAAAAACTGCTGAATGAGACTTGTTTATTTTTAACATTTGACTATATCTGAGATAGCATGAACTAAGACGGATGCTGTTACAAGCTCTAAAACTCTGTTCCCACACATGAAACTCCAAATGCACACAAACACTCGCCATTTCCTGCTTTATCAGCCAGATAGCTAAAAACATTGAACAGACACCAGGAATGACTGGGGTTTATTTTCTGTCGCGTCATTCAAGCCTCTAAAAACTGATAGTTCTGGGAAATTTGGCTTTTTGTTGAGACTTTGTTTTTCAGCTACAATCCCAAACTCTCGATGCGCTGACAGGGTATGGGGTCATTCTGATTTTCAGCCTACTCCGTTGGGAAATGACATTGAAAAACTTACTTCAGAAAAATTTTAATCTATGAGCGGTTATTGCTCAGCTACACCACATTTTTCACTGCCACCCATTGTCGGTCAGCTCACATTACTCATTTCTTTATCAGCGCTCTCTCTTAAGTGTTTTTTTTTTTTTGTCGGTTCTCTCCATAAAACTTACAACTTTTGTTCAACAACTGTTTTCATTCTTACCTCTTCTTTAATTTAATTCTTATTTTATGTTTTCCTTGTTTTCTTCTCATGAAGGGAAACATATGTGCACAGTCTCTCCATCACATTTGATGAAGGAACACAATGCAGTTTTAACATTACCACATTTTTCAGCCTATAATTCACAGTTTTTTGCATAATTTACATGCCCTTCGACTTATACACCGAAGCGACATATTTATGTATTTCCCCCCATATTTATAAACCAATTTTTTGGCTGAGATATGACTGTTTTCATTCATTCTGACTGAAAATATTGAACATTTCCATTTTCATCCGCTAGATGGCACTAGAGTAGTATGGCATGCCATTGTGTCATGTAATATGTAAAAGTGGCTATTAATGACACAATCGGCTTCCCATATAACCACCTTCGTTCAGCTTGCCTGGAGGAACCATAAAATCAGCTTCATTTTGTTGCGCCGCTTCGGTGAAATGCAGCTAATTTGACCATTGAAGTGCATTAAGCAAAAGTTCCACTGAGACACACCTTTACTATAAATTCAAGCAAAAATAATTGTTTTTAGGTGGTTATCTTGAAAAATTTCGAAGAAATGCACAGCAAGTTGTCCCTCAGAGCACGTTCCCACTTCCGCAAATTGGGTTTTGAAATGCAGCTGATTTGACAGTCAAAGTGCATTTATTAAGCAAAAGTTAGATTGAGACACACCTTTACTATAAATTTGAGCAAACACAAAATTGTTTTTAATTGTTAATTTTGTTAAATTCTTGTTAAAGTCCTCCTGTGAACGCTCCTGCGGCCTCCATTTGGCAGCCAATCGATTTTTGGAACAACACCGGCCCACATTTCTGGGTTGTCAGCGGTGATGTGTAACAAATGCCATGCATCAGTGGTGACATATTATGCAACCTATACGGCGAAGCAACATATTTATGGATTTTTCCACTTTATTAGACATATTTGGACTGAAGCAACTTATAAGGCGGTACAACGTGTACCGTGGAAAATACAGTGATAAGTACTTTCAAGGACCTTGGCTCCAACGATTTCCGGGAAACTTTAATAAAATTGTGTCTTTTTCCCTCTAAAGCACTAAACAAAGTGCAAATGTTTGTATGGCACACAAGAACACTTTATTGATATTAGTTTGTAAGAGGTGCATTTCCCAACTTACTTTTGTTTGAAGAAAGGCTGACAACATTTTGAAAGATTGTTGCATTGGCCTCAGACAGTGGGTTACAGGCTTAAATGTTACTGAACTCTTGCATCAAGTCTTTAGTCTCAGTTGAATTTAACGAATTGTAAATTAACAAATGAGAGAACAAAAATCTGGTTTAAGCAAATTAAGAAAGGATTACCCCTCAAAAATATGTCAATGTCTAAAAGCTAAATACAGAAAGCAATATGTTATGCATTATAAACTGCCTGTTTATTACAACAGTTTACTGTTAAACTCAGCAAGGGGGTTTGAGTAAGTTCACATGTGGAATTGTGATGCAACTGGTTCAGAGTTACCATACTGTGTTGTTTAGTGGGTTTGCAACTGGATGTTTGATCACATCTAATGAAAAAAGGGACATAGGATGTTCCAACAGTAACCTCTTATCTTTTCTTTAAAACATATTGCAAATACAGAGAGGAGAGGGAGTAAACTGTCCAGTCAAGAGGAAAGTTTGCTCTTCCTTAACCTTTCTTTGTCCTTTAAAGTTTCTTATCACCTTCTTCCCTGTCCCTTTATTTTCATACTGATTTATAATCCTCCAGGGGCATTTGGCTTACACCGCATGGCCACGCTGTGAATTATAGCAGGAGCATCAAGGGGCTGCAAAAGCCAGCAGAATTCATTGGGAGGGCCTGCTTGTGCAAGACCCCATTGATGTCTCACACTGACTTGGGTATAGTCAGGGGTCCTGGCACAGGGCCGAGACAAGACCAACGGAGCCAATTCAACTTACAAGGGAGAGCCAAAAGAATAACTGGAAACTGCATCAGCAAAGGCCCTACAAAAAACAAAACAAAACAAAAAAAAAGAAAAACACAATTGGATCTTGAAAGGATTGGAACAAGACTAGCAGAAGGTGAGCACTCAGGGTCAGAGATCAAATACAAAGCCCCCAAAGCAGGCAACGAAACAATAAAGCTTGTCAGAAAGAAGTGTTTAAGAAAAATGCCATGGAGGTGTCTCTGTAGGAGGCACAATGAGCTCAACAGGAAATGCCATTCATTTATTTGCTGCATGCAGATGCAACATGATTGAAGTAAAACCTTTGAGGTATTTCATGGCGGGTGCTGTGTTACTCCTGGTTTCAGACTCATGTTTTAATAAGAGCTGAGCTGTTATTTTCTGTTGGGGAATCAATCTATCTTCTTGGGGTATAATAAATATAGTGCACAGGACAGAAAGCAAGGGCTGGTAACCTGTGACTCTCTTAGCCATGCTGTTTCTCATACACCATGCATGCACAAGTGTAGGCACAAGGCAGCCATACATCAAATATACATCAGCACGTAATATTTTGAGGATATCTTTTCCCAGTGCCTCGAGTCACATGCAAAATATTTTGATGTAATTCATCAAACTATTATTTTTCAACACCTTTTGTTCATTAAAAAAATTGATTATTCAGACATTTTTTTAAATGTTGAATTATTTTTATACTACCGTTATTCTCGGACTACAGAACGCACCTGTCTCTAAGCCGCATATACTAAATATAAGATAAATCATGAATTTGTACATAAATAACACGCTCTGGTTATTAAGCTGCGGGCATCCACTGTTCATCGTCTGGATCTGTGCCCAACTCCAGCATTGTGCAAATTTCTTGTTGTACTTCAAGAATCTGCCACTGGATGGTGTTTCATAGTCTGCAGCTTGCTTTCAACACACATTCAGACTGCAAGATCGTCACAAGTCTTCATGATGCTTCGCTGTCTTACTCATGGTTAAAATCCATGGTTAGAATCCAGTTTTTTTTTTCTCGCTACTATTCCTCTTGATTGTCCTTTTGGTTGCTATTTTGTTTTGATTTGTAAAAAAAAAAAAAAAAAAAAGAGAGAAAGAAATATACAAGTAAATTTGTTTGCCTGTTTTATGACTGTCTGTTGTTGTCATTGTTATCCATTGTTGTCATCACTCTATTTTAAGAAATCAGGCCTCTCTTGTAAATGTGTCACCGAGGCTCAGTGGGATTAACCTGTATATATAAAGGTTGAATGAAAAAAAAAATCAACCTTCAAAATTAACACAAGAACTATCTAAGCATAATCACTGGACAGAACCGTGCCATCCATCCATCCATTTTCTTTACCCGCTTATTCCATTTTGGGTCACGGGGGTCGCTGGTGCCCATGTCCAGCAATCACTGTGCGAGGGGAGGTGTACACCCTGGACGGGTCACAAGTCCATCACAGGGACACATAAAGACAAACGAGACAAACAACCATTCACTCTCTCATTCACACCTAGGGACAATTTAGAGTTACCAATCAGCCTAACATGCATGTTTTTGGTCTGTGGGAGGAAACCGGAGCACCCGGAGAAAACCCACGCATGCACGGAGAGAACATGCAAACTCCACCCAGAAAGGCCCCTGGACCGGGGTTTGAACCAAGGACCTGCTCGCTGAGAGGCAGCAGCTCTACCAGTTGTGCCACCGTGCTGCCAGAACCGTGCCAAACACCTTTTTCTTCTTCTTTCAGCTTTTCCCTCTTCAGGGGTCGCCACAGCAAGTCATCTTCCTCCACCTCACTCTGTCCTCTGTATCCTCTGTGTCCTCTGTATCCTCTGTCCTCACTCCAACTACCTTCATGTCCTCTCTAAATGCATCCATATATCTCCTCTTTGGCCTTCCTCTTTGTCTTTTTCCTGGCAGCTGCATTTCTAACATCCTTCTACCAATATACCCACGGTCCCTCCTCTTGACATGTCCAAACCATCTCAGTCTAGTCTCCCTAACTTTATCTCCCAGTTGTTCAACCTGTGCTGTACTGCTGATGATCTCATTACTAACCTTATCCAGCCTTGTCACTCCTAAGGAGAACCTTAGCATCTTAATTTCTGCCACTTCCAGTTCTTTCTCCTGTCTTTTTGTCAATGCCACTGTCATATTTCTTCTTGGCTAATCTCTTTCTTTGAACGGCATCCTGCACTTCACAATTCCACCACCAGGTTTCCTTATCATCCATTCTCTGTCCAGATGACACACCAAGTACCTTCCTACTTGTCTCTCTAATTACTGTTGCTGTAGTAGCCCAGTCATTTGGAAGGTATTTCTTACCACCCAGAGCCTTTAACAGCTTCTCTCTGAATTTCTCACAACATTCTTCCTTCTTCAGCTTCCACGATTTGGTCTTCTTCTCTGATTTTACTCTTTTCCTCTTCTACACAACAACAGTCATTCTACACACAACCATCCAATGCTGTCTGGCCACGCTCTCCCCTGCCACAACCTTACAGTTTCCAATCTCCCTCAGGTTTCCTCTTCTACACATAACGTAGTCGACCTGCATACTCCTTCCTCCACTCTTTTAGGTCACTATTTTCCTCCCTCTTTTGGAAATAGGTATTGACTATAGCCATTTCCATTCTCTTGACAATATCCACTACCATCTGTCCTTCCTGGTTTTTTTCCTTGACACCAAACCTACTCATCACTTCCTCATCCCCTATGTTTCCTTCACCAACATGTCCATTCAGGTCTGCTCCGATCACCACTCTCTCCTCCTTGGGAATACTCTCTATCACTTCATCCAGATCTTTCCAAAATGTATATTACTCCTCCTCATCACATCCAACCTGTGGAGCATAACCAATGACAATGTTTAGCATCAGACCTTCTACTTCTACCTTCAGGCACATCACTATATCTGACACTCTCTTTACCTCTACTACATTCTTCTTCATTCACCCCTACTCCTTTTCTCTTTCTATCCACACCATGGTAAAACAGTTTGAACCCTGCTCCAATGCTGCGAGCCTTACTGGCCTTCCACTTGGTCTCTTGGACACATAAAACTTCTATCTTCCTTCTCTGCATCATGTCAGCCAGCTCACTACCTTTGCCTGTCATTGTCCCCACATTTAGAGTTGCAACCCTCAGTCCTACATTCTTCATTTCCTCTTCTCCCTCTGTCTCCTGACACGTTTCCCTCCTCGTGCTCTTTGACTAACAGTAGCACAATTTCTGCCAGCACCCTGTTTGTCAACAGCACCGGAGGCGGTCCTTGTTAACCCGGGCCTCGACATATCTGGTATGGTTTTGCTTTGATGAACTCGCA